GGGGGGGGGCATTCTTTTTTTTTTTGGGGGGGGGGGGGAATCCAAGAATTTGGTAAGTGGTCGAGGGCCACACTCTTCCATTATATAAATGGAGGAGATGCAGGGGTCTGGGATGGAGGTTGGGTTTAGAAGGGAACTTGGAGGTAAGAGATTGGGGTGTGGAATCTGGGAGGAAGTTTGGGTGAAGTAGGAGATCGTGACCTGGGGCGACTGACTGGGGTGAGGAGGGGGTGCAAGGCCTGGGAGGGGGTTGTGACCTGGGGCAGGAGTCCAGGAGGGGGTGCAGAGATTTGGACTGGGACCAGGGATAGCGGATTTGGGTGCTAGATCTGAGAGGGGGTTGTGACCCGAGGAGGGGTGTAGGAGGGAATGTATCTTGGGGAAGGTGTTTGGGGGCTGGAGCAGGGGTGCAGAAGGTTTGGGTTACATAGGGTAGGAGGGCAGAAGTGAGCAGAGGGCTGGGAGAGGGTGGTGGGAGATGGGGTGCCAGAGACAGGCTCTGGCTGGGAGACCTTGCCTGGCTCCCAGCCAGCAGCCCAGCAGGTTCCTTAGCTAGGGTCCCTGCCTTCCAGCCCCTGTAGGTGTATAGGTGAATTGCAGGAGCCATGTTTATTCTAAACTGAATGCTGTGAGCCCAGGGGATGAAGGAGGAGGGGAATGTCACATGCTGCCTGTCCTGCAAACAGGCAGCTGCTATTGTCCGAAACCGGCCAATGGGAGCAATTGGGGGTGGGGGCAGCATGAGAAGCCTGGCTCCCCTCCCTCCAGGGTTCACAAACACACACATAGCCCTGCACCTGGCTTCCCAGAGTGCTGAGTGCGAGCTGGCTGAGGCTCTTGCTGCCAATGATCAGCTTTTGCCCAGCCCTGGAGCAGAGGCTGGAGCCAGCTTCTTCATTTATAGCAGGCAGCAGCAGCTGCTGCTCTTCCTAGAGGGTGAGTGCCCCATCCTACTTCCCCAGCTGATCAGCTGAGCTCCCTCATGGCCCAGGCAGGATGCTACCCATAGACCAGGAGGCAGCCTGTGTGGGGCTGCTGTGTCCTCTCGCCAGCCACACTTATGATTGGGTGGGCAGAACCATGATTTAAGAATATTAAGGCCTACTCAACTAAACGATAAGCAGATGCTTATAAGATAGTCAGTTGACTAGTCGACCAGGCAGTAAAGGGGTGGGGAAGAAGGGGTACTTCAAAGTGGGAGTGCTGCACAGCTGAGTTGGGGATCAGCTGTGCGGAGCTGCCACTTTGAAACCCCAAGGTGGCATTTCAAAGGGGCAGCTGCTGCACAACTGATCCGCAACTTGGCTGTGCGTGACTGCCCCTTTAAAACACTGAAGCGCCGTGCAGCTGGGGTCAGCTGGGGAGTCCCCAGCTAACCCTGGGTTCCGAGTGGCATTTCCCCAGAACCCGGGGTCAGCTGGGGAGTTTCCAGCTGACCCTGGGCTCAGCATGGCATGCAGCGTAGCATGGAGTCCGGGGTCAGCAGGGGACTCAGAGTCTCCCCCAGGCTCCATGGCTTTGAAATGTACAAGAGCCCCTGCTGAGGACTCTTGTACATTTCAAAGCAGGCACACTCACATTCAGCCCAGAGTCAGCGGGACTTCCTGCTGGCCCCAGGCTGCACACAGAGTTCTGCATTTCTCCTTTGAAATGTACAAGAGCCCATCCATTGACTACTCGACTAGTCAATTAACCGATATTTAATATCCTTACCGTGATTCCACCCATCTCAGTGCACCACTAGCAGAGCTATGCCAGGGAAGTACATGGCACCAGGTATAGCTTTGGCACAGAATGAGATCTGGAGGCACATTGTGACTGTGAAACTCTGGGTGTGTCTAGACTACATGCCTCCTTCGACGGAGGCATGTAGATTAGCCAGATCGTAAGAGGGAAATGAAGCCGCGATTAAAATAATCGCGGCTTCATTTAAATTTAAATGGCTGCCCCGATCTGCCGACAAACAGCTGATCGGCAGATCGGGGCAGCCATTTAAATTTAAATGAAGCCGCGATTATTTTAATCGCGGCTTCATTTCCCCCTTCCGATCTGGCTAATCTACATGCCTCCGTCGAAGGAGGCATGTAGTCTAGACACACCCTCAGTCTGTTTTCTGGTCGGCTTCTTCTGGGACAGCGCAGTAGCAAACTGCCCTTTGCTTGTCTGAACCTCATGTGAGTACATCTTACCTGTGTGAGCTTTCCCCTTGGCAACAGAGCTGTTCATGCTAGGAAGGGGGGCGGGACTGGGTTGTTTTATTGACACAGCCAAGGGTGAGCGGTGCTACCAAAAGGCCAAAAGGAAAAGGACACCGAGTGACAAAAAGGTGCTCTTGGTACTCTGGCTGCAGTCCGTATTCTAAACAGAAGACCAAAATGTTTGTTCACGCTATAATCCAGACAGGCAAGGAATTAAAAATAGAGCCCTAAAAGGTTGACAAGTCCCTTTAAGTGCACTTAAATTCATATGCATACCCTGATGTCTGTTTGAACTTGGATAGTTTGATGCAGAGGATGTATAAATATCCAGTGAGTGATTCTGCAAATCCTGTTTTGATAAGGTCTTAAATCTGCTGAGATCAGAACATAAAACTCCCTTGTAGCTTCAGTGCTAGGTGAAAACTCTGCTTGCCAATTCATTCTTTTTTTTTATTTTCTCCTTCAGAATTGTAAGATGCAGCTGTAAATCTTGTGGCTGTTACAAGCATAGAATTTGAAATGAAAATGGAGCCAACCGTAGCATGGGTGTAAATAGCTGTGCTAGTGGCATTGCACTCTATTTATTCCTTATCTGGATTCAGGCCTATTATGTTCATTTCCATTTTAATAATTGTTGCACTCTGTCTGTCTATCATGTAACTTTAAGATCTTGAGATAAATGTTCTGCAATAACTTGTGCGCTGGATAACAATATGTTTCCAAGAACAGAAGTACAGCCAATATAAAACTCTCCATCAGTGTATTGTTCCTTCAGTAGATGATTCATAGGCATCTTACTGGAATGAACCACTAAAGGATTTGGTAATATAACTAATGATATTAAACCCATTTAAAGAAGCTGCTGTTAATATTTCAGTTTTAAATACTATTTGCTGGGTTGCTATTATGCTCTGATTGTTATATTGACAAAGTATGTCTGTATATGGAGCCGGTTGCAAATTTTTATTGCTTTTTATACAAAAATTGCCTTTTCAACTAACTGTGAAAACAGTGTTTCTGAGAATATTTTCCCCTTTTCTTTGTTAAAATGTTTCGGCTTTTGATTGAAAAACCTCAAGTAGCAAAAATACCAGTTTTTGACAGCCACACATCAGTTTGAGGCTTTTGAAAACAGAATTTGAGATTTAGTTTTTTGACAAAAAAAGATTACATTTCTTGTTTGGTTTTATTTTGTTTTTCTGCAGAAATAAAGTATATCACTCCCTGGCTCTGTGCATTAGCAGAGTCATTCTTCTTCGTTGGTTTGACCAGAACTGCTTAGAATAATAGTATAAGGCATAGAATGCATTGTTAGTTTTACTGGGACTGTATCGTCACATGCTGTATCAGTTTTACATGCTACTACAGGAGTGTTTGATCTTTAAACGATTATGTGATTTTTTGTTTTTGTTTTAGAAATCTATTCTCTGAAGAATATATCTGAGTGGAAATGCGCTCTGGAAAAATCCCTTAATGATGCAGCAAAGTTTCCTCTTCCAATGGAAGTATTCAAGGTAAAAGAGATGAATTTATTTCTTTAATTACAGAGCTACCATTGAATAAATACACCAGGGAGTGAACAAACTTCTCATGTTTACCTAATTTAGGAGGGGCACCATTCTAGTACGTCATGTGATGAAAAGTCAGATTTTTGCAGAAACTGGAATAGGAAAAGCAGCGAGGAGTCCTGTGGCACCTTCTAGACTAACTGAAGTGTAGGAGCATAAGCTTTCGTGGGCAAAGACTCACTTCGTCAGATGCATGTGGGTCTTTGCCCACGAAAGCTTATGCTCCTACACTTCAATTAGTCTATAAGGTGCCACAGGACTCCTCGCCGCTTTTGCAGATTCAGACTAACACAGCTACCCATCTGATATTGGAATAGGAAAGGCCATTTTTGTTGTTGATTTAGGCCATGTCTGCACTACGAAAGTATTTTGAAATTACTAAATTCAATTTAATAACTCCCGATTTAACAAATTCAAACTGGCATGTCCCCACTAGGGGAAACCTCAAAATTAGTCCAAGGCAGGCTCCGTTAATGTGGATGCATTACCTCAGACTTAGCGCTCCGGGAAGCACTGGGGAGTAGTTACTTCGAATTATTCTGGGGAGTAGTTATTTTGAAATAGTAGCACCGGAGCATCCACACTACAATTATTTCAAAATAACTATTTTGGAATTATCATTACTCCTGACGAAAAGCAGGAGTACAGATTTTGAATTCCTCAGCCTCTTATTTTGAAATAACGAACTTGATAGTGTGAAATTTTCACTTATAAATTTGACCCGGGGGAGGTTATTTCGAAATAAAGTCCTAGTGTAGACCAGGGCTTAGAAAATTGACTCCTTGTAGTCAGAGACTATAGGGGTATGTGGTGCATGACATTGATTTCTCCCACATCATTTTTAAAGCACATTGCTATGTAAAGTCTGTGCAAAAGACACCACTTACGACATCAGAATAGGGTTTAAATGGGACTTATGAACATAGGAATTTTCACACTTGATCAGACCCAATGTCCATCTAATCCAGTTTCCTATCTCTATCACCACATACTTCAAAGGAAGTTGAAAGAACCCTGAAGTAAGCAGATGTGGGTAATCTGTCCCCTTGTAAGTTTCATCTTGGTCTGTAGTACTTAGAGATCGGCTTCAGATCCCAAAGCACAAGATCTAACATCCCTCCTAAAAATTTTGTTGTCAGTGGATAGTTTTGATTGCCATATAAATATCCAATCTCTTACATTCTTGGCCTCAATTACTTCCTGTGGCAATGAGTTCCACCTTTTATCAGATCTGAATTTCCCTTTTTTTACATTAAGTGAAGAGCCCATTCTTCTTGTGCAACAAGACAGGAAAACAGAGCACCGAATCTACCTTCTGCAGATCATTCATAGTTATATATATATTTTATCATGTCCCCCCCATAGAAAGGTATCCATTATCTTTCTAAGGCAGAATGTCCCCAGTCTATCAGCTTCTCTTCATAGCAGCTCAGGATCATTCTTGTCACATGTCTCTGAACTCCCTTGTTTTGCAATATTATTTGTTAGTTGTGTTGATCAGTGCTGCACACAGTAGGACCAGTGAGTCATAGTCTTTGGGATGGATTTCAGCTTATTGTTGGTAAAATCCTTTCTTGGAACTCTTACTTCTCTTAAGCCAGGTCTTCACTAAGGGGAAAGTTGACTTAAGATACACAACTCCAACTATGTTAATTATGTAGCTGGAGTCAAAGTATCTTTAATCGCATTTTTACGCCATCCATACAGTGGGAGGTTGACGGAAGCACATGCTTCCATCAGCTTCCCTTACTCCTCATAAGGAGCAGGAGTACCAGTGCCAACAGGGGTGCTCTGAATTAGAGGGTCTTTACTAGACCTGCTAATTCAAACCCTAGAAGATCAACTGCAGCAACATCAGTCTTCTGCATAGTGTAGACATGGCCTTATTAGAGAAGAAACAGGCGACCCAGGAGCAGATGGGGTAAACTGAACTGCTTTATTGCCCACATATGTTTACCTCAGACATTCAACAAACGTATGAGTGGCACCAATTTGGCACCAATTACATCCTTTTGTCTATTTTAGTATGTTAATTCACATGTCTATTACTACTTTCCCTAAAACCTTATTTAGTAATGTTAACTCCTGCACATTGAATGTTAATAAGCAGGTGAGGAATACAATTATACCTGCCCCTGTTTGTTGTTTACTGGTTTTAGTTGAATCAGCATTACCTACTGTCTTAATCAGCAGCTTATAAGGAGAGGGAAAGCATGTTGACCCTGAAAATGTTTTATGGAACAAGTGTAAAGACAAAACGAGATACTTTTCAGTGCAACCATCTTCCAAGGCTGCCACAACAAAGGGGAAAACCGTGTTTAAAGGGCAATGACAATTTCGGCTAGACTCCTTAGCCACTAATGTATAGCCATCCCAGACCCCTATTAATTTTTACATATCCCAACAGGCAGGGCTCACCAAGCAGCGGCGAGCCCTTCTCGCCAGCCGCACACTACCGCACACTGCACATACACAAACCGCGCTGCACAGCCGCGCTGGGCTAAAATCTATTACGTTAATTGTCGAGCCCTGCCAATAAGCCTTACTGTGTTTATCCTAAGAAGCTGCACTAGACCACTGAGAGGAGATTATACTAACTGGTCATATGTGTCCTGCAAAGAATATTTGATGCTCATCTTCTCTTGAGTTAGCATTATTTTTTAGTGATCTACAATGGTGCCACTAGTGCCTTTATTGTAAAATTCTGGATTTCAAGAGTATCCTCCAATTGAATATCAAGAGGTAACACACAAACACTGAGGAGTTAAGCCTCACTGCACCTGTGTGAGGTAGGGAAACATTGTTATTCCCATGGCGTGGCTAGAAGAATTGGAACATAGAGAGAAAATGCTGTTCTAAGTCTGTGGAAGAGATATACCAGCAATGGATGTAATAGAAAGGCCTTAAAGATATAAGCTAGAGTCCAGATTGTTGATGGCTTCACCATATCCAGTCACCTATCTCCTCAGTTTTGCCTTCCTTCAGCTAGTAACCTCATGGAGCCCGTTAGTAGGTGTGCACTGTGTCTCCCTGCAAATCTTCTGTATTTCTTCCTTCATCATTGCATAGTCCACTGCTTCCCTGCCTCCGCTGCTTATTTGCCAAGCATTTTAAATGTAGGTTTTGTTGTTACTGTCTGTGTATGTGAAATTCACCACTGTGTTGTGAATCACACGAGTCCCATGGGGGTTACGTGAGCACTTAGGAATTATAGTGCTGGCTCCTTGCACAGGGATGGCTTTTACGCTGCTCTTGATGATGTTAGGAAGAACTTTCAGCCTATAAGGGCAGTTAAGGAGTAGAATTAGCTTCCCAGAAAGGTTGTGGAATCCCCATCATTGGAAGTTTTGAAAAACAGGTTTGACAGACACCTGTTAGGGATGGTCTAGGTTTACTTTGTCCTGCTTCAGCACAGATAGCTGGACTAGATAACCTCACCAGGTCCCTTCCAGTTCTTCATTTCTATAACTCTGTGCCCTTTAAAAAACCCTTGGCTTAAAATGTATTTGCTAGGAAAGACAGCCACTTTATGGTTTTCTGCTAACGATAACTCCTCACTCTCAATATAGCACTTTTCATTGGTAGCTCCCCAGCTACTTTGCAAAGGAGGACAGTATCATATCCCCATTTTACAGATAGAAAGACTGAGGCAAAGAGTGGGTATGCAGTGGGCTAAAGATGTCACAGCAGGCTAGTGACAGAGTCAGGAACAGAAACCAGCTCTCCTGAGTTGCAGTCCTAAGCTCTATCCACTAGACAACACTGCCTTTTCAATCACTCTTGCTTTATTTTCATGTTCCAAAGACAGGTGCAGCTAACTCCCCTTGAAGGGTTCAGGGTCCCGTGGTCCAGCTAAGAAGCATTTTAATTAGAACCGTTTTATTTAAAATGCTGGGTGAAAGTCTCATCTTGCACAGCCAGCTAAGAAGCATTTTAATTAGAACCATTTTATTCAAAATGTGGGTGAAAGTCTCATCTTGCACATGGCTAATACAAAGCCAGTGCTCATTGCAGTTCCACTGATGCCCTATTTTGAAACTATTACCAGGACTTCAGTGATGTATAGCCCTCCCATTGGCTGTCTGCACAAAGGTGATACCCAGTCACTGTGCCCATATTTCTAGCAACTCTGACTTTGTAATTCATGTGTCTGTTTCAAGGTCAAAACACAGTGATTCTAAGATTAGCCCTCAGAGAATTTCTGTGGAAGAGTGCAAAATATCCCTGGCGAGGCACAACCCTCCCCTTTTTGAATTGACGTCCTCTGGCTGTTGGATCCTCTCTTCTCTGTGTGCAAACCTTTGTCTGCTTACTTGCATTATGGCATCAAGGCTGTGTTTGTAGATTCAGCGAGTCCCACTTTTGAAGTGTCTGGTGGTGGGATATTGCCAGAACTCTTATACGTTGGGAAGAACGAGCAGCACAAAGTGCCTGGAATGGACTGAGATGAGCGTTAGTTGGGGACTGAACACAAAGAAGAGCAAAAGCCACAGGTGCTTTTTGTTTTGCCAAACCACATCCAGGGCATGGTTCAACTCAGTCTTGATTCTGTACATACCTGGAGGGGGTGTTGGATAAATATTTCTGCTCTGGAACCATTTGTTGTTTCAACTGCAAATGAGTGAAGCACAGGGTGGCTTTGTTTTTGGTTTGAAAATGTCCCCCCTCAAGCAGAAATGTGCTTTACAAAACCAGAGAGGCTCATGTCTGGGTCTTCTTTCATGTCAGCCTCCAAAGTCAGGGATGTGGGGCAACATTGATTATATGGGCCAGGTTGGACTAGCTCTGTTGAAGTCACTTTTCTCAGTGAAGTTATTGGTGACCAACAGATGATGAGGCCAAGGTTCTGATTTGGGGTCATGAAAAGAACATATGAACGGCCACACTGGGTGAGATCAAATGTCCAACTAGCCAGTGTCCTGTCTGCCGACAGTGGCCAATGCCAG